AACTTAAAAAAATGCGTTTCGTTAACTTAGAATATGAAAGCGGCGAGTGGTTGTTTATGCTTGACCGCGGACAACATTACGAAGTGGATGTAAGTATTTGTGAATGCAATTGTAGCACATTTAATATGTGTCGATATCCGTGCCGCCATTTCCTGCTGGCATATATTAAAAGACGAAATCTAACAGGTAAGCTATTTAAATTATAAAATATAAACATATAAACATGCATAGCTCATCAACTTCTTAGGTGTTGCTGCAGATGGAAATTAGACAATACGCACAATTTACAAAACAACACAGGAATTTCATTACCGAGACGGAGTAAAGAATATATACAACTTCAACGGCTACAAAGAATGTGCAAACAACAAATTGTTGAGAAATATGGCGAACGCTTCGCGAATCAGGTGGTGAGAAAAGTCTACAATTTTTACTTAAGAATTATAAACAGCTAGACAGCAGGTTTACGATTAACAGTTCTTTGTGGCTCACACTTCTTTGCTAAATTATGTTAACTCTTCAGATTGTCTTCACTTATCTTATTAGTTCTTAATTCACTGATTTATTCATTACATCTAGAATTATCACACAATTTATCTTATATGCTTCTGAGCTTCACTCGACTATTACACCACCCATCCTTTATGTTCCCTTAAGTCTAACACCAAATGACCTTTTCAAGCATATACATATGTATAGTTATTATTGATAACCTAGGTCATTCCAATTCTTTGCTTTCTATTATCTTTCATACTATTTCTTCCCTCAATCTTAAATTATAATGCATATTCAGTTGTATGCAACTTATGAGAAACCACGAAATGTAATGCAGTCACATGATTGTGCGTCAATATTTGTTTTGGCTTTATTTAGACCATAATTATACAAACTTACAGGATTTATAATATAAAACACTGCGTATGGTTGTTATATTTATATTTAAATAATTCATTAGATGAATGAGCATAGCAGTAGGCAATATAAAACAGTTATCGTAAACTTGTAAACCGGTTTTCCACACGATCTTCCGTAATCCTAAATTCCATAAGCTTCATACTATTCTGAAAAACAACAAATCCGTTTTGAGACAAACAATTAAACTTTGTTCTCAGTATCATATTCAATAAGTTATTCAAATAGCAAGTAACAGACTGTGCCTATAAGTCTTTTATTAACAAGTAGTGACATTCATTCATAACTTCCTAAGTAACACAACTGTATTACCGAGACGGAGTGAAGAGTATATAATAACTCATTTGTGAACCCTATAACAGACACGTCACAAATCAGTATTGACTAAAAAATATGGTTGTGTCACCATTCTCGCAAGAAACACCGATCGTTTTATTCATGACGATTTTGTTCCTACTTGATGTGGTGTTATACACTATTACTGCAGACGTTCAGAAAGCCGCTGGACAACACTATAAACGTCAATTGTTACTCACATAATTTTTTTCTCAGATACGTTACATAATTATGTCACTTCAGTACAAAACAATGGTACCTCTAATGGATATAACTTTTTATGGCTAAATACAAACAAGTTATATAATATTCACAATTAGGTTAACGCTTGATTGCTTCTACTTACATTTTATAAACAACTACCGACATCCATGTTCACCGTCACCGCAATCAAGGAGGTGAACCATATGTAAAAGATTTTACGGTTCATTTTCATAAAAACTCAATCTGTGATGTATTTTTTGACTAGAAACACGGTGAACTTTACTTGCTTGAGTTTGTATTGTTACAAATAACTATATTAAGCTAACTTCAGATTTACTTACGTGGTGAGCAAGAAATACGTCAAACTGCCAATAAATTGGAATAAAAACTATGTTACAAGCACTAGCAATACAGAAATTGATGTGTCATGCAAAAAAGCCTGTTAATAGCTGATAAATAACGACACAAAAAATCCACGACAATATGCAACGTGTGCGCGAAAATCCGTGGCTTACCCGCTAGTCCGTGCCAGTGGGATCACTGATCAAACATAAGCGCGTGCAAGGTCACAATCAACTGAGAATGAATGTCTTTAGTACAGCTAAACAAACAAGTACAGTAAAACAATCACTGGTACAATTGGTTCTAATATTAATTGTTTCCATTAAACTAATCATGTTCTCTTGATAAAAGCAAGTCACTACAAACTGATGCAAGTGAAGACACTAGAGAATTTATTCTGGATGATCATGTACGAAATCGACTAGTGTGTCTGTTTATAATTTTAGTGATAGTATATTCTGAAATAAAATCATACGAGAATTAAGGATTTTTAAAGAGATATGGCCCACATGTATAAATAGACAGTATCTTACCAACAAGTCAGAAACAATTATACTGTACCGTCCATGAAGTTGCAATTCTTGATTTTTTTTCCAATTTATGTTATCTTTCGTGTTTTATAATCATCTGGAATTCACCTAGTGGACTAAGGATTACTGAATAAGCTTTTGTTATAACTTGTGGCCTGAGCGCACCGTTAATGGATATGTAATAATACAACCAATCAGAGAGCAGTGAATTATCGATCGGACCAAGGACGCGTAAAACACATGCGAGCAGCCTATAGTCCTGATTGGCCCCACTTCCCGCCTAGCTCAGCCAGTTGAATCCAGAACATCAATCTCAGCCTCTGCAATATGAATCATGTATTTCAAACATACTCGGTTTATATACCAATCAAACAGACCACAACGTACCATAAAATATAAAATAACATTTGTACAAAATTTGGCCAAATGTGGCTGAGTGTGGGAGGCAGTGACTAATGGGCAGGGCATAATTCAAGAATGGTAAAACATATAGTAATGGTTCATAGGTCAAAATAAAGCTTATAATGAGAAGGATATCAATATGCATAGTTTAGTTATTTAACAATTATACGATAAAAATATACGTTTAGTATTGGCCCATAAATGGATCCCAAAAGCTACCATTCATTATGCTTATCGTGACCTAACAGCTCCCTAACCACCATTTATTGGTGGCGAACCCAGATATCATTAAACCTTACTAGTAGGTTAAGACGACGCTTGTTTCCGAAGTGATAGTCAATTTTTATCTTGAATCCATTCGTGTATCCCGTAAAACTGTTCTTTAAAAAATAGGTAGTTCCACTAATATTCTGTAAATTATGCAATAAAACGAGTAATAGTTCTTTCACTTGTTGAATTCCTTCACACACATAAATGGACACTTGTGATAAGAAGCATCAAAAGTGATATCGATATTCTAACTAATAATTCCCAGGCCAGTCCAATACTTACTATATTAGTTACGAATAAACCAGCAGACCAAACACATTCGACAAAACGAAAGGTATATTTTGCCTGTAATTCCAGCTGAGAGCGTAATATTGCACAAAATGATCACTTTTGCAAAAATCACTACGTTTAAATGTCTTCCTCCATCAGTAAAAATACTCCATTTTCTCACTAACATTGCATTGGCATTACAATTCTTATTTCCACGAAACCAGTTTCCAGATTTAGAAACTTCACACTTGACGAACTTTCTTGAATGACTTGTATTTCCTCCTGGTGGACCTGTGTGCCATTTTGTAATATGGAATACGTCTTCTGAAGTGGCTTATAAAATGTAACTGCTTTCGTTGTTTGTGGCGATAGGAGTGAACCCAAAACATTTTGGATTTCGGTATTCCTAGTTCTGAATAATGATAACATTGCTGGTAATGCTTCACATTGATTTCAAATTTAAAACAGGAATGTTAGTATCCCTTCTGGATATCTGATATATAATCTTAGTACATCACGGAGTCTATATAAGCATAATTGGGTTCTGGGCTTATAGTGAAATAAATTCTCAAAGTATATGAATCCTCAGCTCTTATATGATGTGGTAAGGCCCTTGACTTGAATCCGAAACATACCAGTTATGATCGTGAGAGTATTCAAATGTAGTTTGGGAACTTAATGAAATTGGTTATCTTTGTCTAGAAATACATCTTTATGTCACTTTGGCACCTAGGTTATCTTCATAACCAAGTGTAACATTTATAGGGCTGCAAATATTTGAGACATTTCAAGCTCTTTCTAATAGTATCATTGATATGAATGTTTTCGAATGACTGATTTTTCATTAACTCAGCTTTCTTCTAAAATCAATGTAAAATGCACTCACTGATTTAAAACACGAACTTAGCAGATGACTGGTATATAGCTACGGCTTATAAGTCTAGGCGATTTTATCAACCTTGGCAGACGTAAGATTACTAGGCGAAGGCACAAACCAGAAACTGTTACTCCGAATTCGGGGATAAAATTGTATTTAGTCACTGGAACCGTTATATAAATTCACGTGTAGCGGTAAATAAATTGCTAAAATAACTTGTTCCGTATGTCTTCAACAATGACCCCTAGATATATTCTAAGGGTGCTCAGTCACGCAACCACACCAGACCACGAATGGGTACGCTGTGCTAATTCATCTCCTTTAACCAGCTCAGATCAAACGCTTCACGAGATATCGACCCCCTTTCACATATAACTTCAAACCACTTCATCTCTGACTTCTAATTTGACTGCGTTGTTATACTTCGATTATAAAGGTGTCACGTGTAAAGGCGTTGTCGAATTCCGAATACATGTGGCGTCTTAATAATATTGTTTATGTACACCTTCGTCTTAGCTGGTGTTGGTCTGGCTGATATACGTTTGACCTGAGTTAATACCTTCATAATAAATCAACCATAATATATTCTCTTATTTGGCTTCTGAACATCTTGAATGGGAAGAAACCTAAGTGAATATCGAGAATTGGCCTAAAAATATATATATTAGGGTTGAACAGGGTCACTTACAGTGGGAGTTCGAAGTATTAACTTACAAAGTACATAGTAGTTAGTTGGATTTTTCGTTATAATATTTAATAAAAATGACTAAACACATTGAAAGGATCTACCTTAAGTTACCATTTTCAACATAAGTAGCTGTAAAATGTTTATATTGCGAATAAAAATAGAAAATTCACGAGAACTATAACTATCTTTTATGTGAAATTTAACTGGTTACTTAGTATGAAATTTTTTTCAGAATTATATACTGTAGTGATATAGAAAATTACCAGAATATTGCAAATAAACAACAATGCAAACTATATGATATAATAGAACAACCAAGGAATTAGATATATTTACACATTATTGAAGTAATTTTGCAAATTAATAGGAAAACAAACTAATACAATACAAGAAACAAGCATACACGATATCCGGCCTGAATGATAATTAATCACTCAGGTCACTTAAGTCACTTTCGTCATCAGAATGATGAGACGTTTTGGAACGATTATAGTTATTATTAGATTGGAAACGTTTTTTAGCTTCAACCTTTTGTATTTCTTCGACCTCTTCATCTTCTTCCTCGACTTCAGCTTCCTCCTCTGCTTCTTCTCCAGCCTCAGTGTTTTGACCATCACTAATTCCATCCTCTGCCTCTTCTTCGTCGTCACTACCTAAAACCAAGCAAACTTTCGTATACAGGGTTTTATTTCTAAAAAAAATTTGTATCAAGAAGATAGTAACTTGAGAAATTTACCAGGTTCACTGGCTTATAGAAAAAATAATTCATCTGGCTTTTATTAAGCAATAGATAAAGAAGATGGGAAAATATTTTCTATTGTACTCATATTCATATGCAAAAACTAGAATGTCTCTATTCTAACTGGATATATATTTCACAAACACTAACTACAACCCACGTAGCCTGATGTTTTTTAATTGGCTGCAAAACTGGATGACTGTATTTCACAAGTTTACGCAATTTCAACAAACAAAACAGATGTCGAAATGTAAATTCATCGTCATAGGTATATTATTTATCATTCCTATTGCAAGATCGGTCACTTTTGAGTATGCTGAATTGATATAATAGTTGGTATGAACAGTTATCAAGGTTCATTTGAAGGAAATATTCATAACATCGCTTAATCTTTACAACTTTTCCGAAGAAATCATGATACCGACATATTTGACTTTATAATTCTAGTAAAACTTTATTAAAAGCTGAGCCCCATTTTGTGAACACAGTTTATGATTTATCAAATCTTAGTCTTATTTAGCTCCACTTACTCGATTAGCTTGCAGGTAAGTAAAGCAGTCATCTTATCGTATGTACATCATCTTCGAAAACTGATGAATTATTTAACAGATAATTGAATGTCCGAGTTTTTATGTTGCGTATGTTATATACAGAGCCTAAACACATTCAGTCCAAAGACGCCGGTCAGATGACATAAATGGCAACTGAGTGATGGAACTAAATTACCCTAATGACCTTCAGAGATTTTAAAACTGACTGTTAGGCTCAAAATAGCGTCAAAAATCATGATTAGAAGTTAAAGTAGGGAACTGCAGTCAAAGTTTATAGCACGCATTGGGACTGCATATAATACAAGGATGTTTTGTAGTTATATGGATGGATAAATAATCCGTAAAACCAGTTTGTCTACATACTTTATTTCCACATTGATAGCTTTTTGGAATAATAATGAAGTCAAATTTCTATCACTTGGATCTATTTTTAAATTGCTTTTCGTTAGGAAAGTAAATAAGTAATTGATTAGTGTTGAATTTTTAAAGGTTTGGTGTCTATCAAAGTAACAAACAAACAAAACTAAAATAGTTTATAACAACTACGAATTCATTAATCTTAAAAAAGTAATTGTGAGTACTATACTAGTGAAATAAACATGTACTTTACCCTCAACCATTTTTGTAAGGATAGTATAATAAACATTAGATTAGTAGCTTAATGAACTAAACTGCATGGTCTCAAACTAGTTGTCGTTGGTAGTAACAATTTTATCAATTGGTATGTTGCGAACAATGCACTGAACGGTGTAAAGGATTAAACTACTTAAGAAAGAATATATAAAACTATAGCAAAGGAACTAGCAAACTGATTGGATATAAAGACACAATCGTTTGAAGAATCACAAAATTACCAGAAAAACGAAGAACACATGGAATTTCTGACAAGATTGAAGAGTTTAAGTTAACGCAATTTACAACTGAGTAATAAGTCGACTCAAAAAAATAATACATATAAAAAATGACTGATAGATTAATAAATAAAAAACAAAGAAATATGATAACAAATAGTCCGGACCTTCTAAAATAAGAAGCGATCTCGAGTTATATCATCTATCGTCTCCAACCACTGATTAACGGGATATTCACGATCTGAATGATGAAACATACAATATTTTTGCTGATAAGATCAATATCCGTTAAATAAATGGGTTTGGGCATCTTTAAGTACTTTTTCAGTCAGCTTTAAAGCCTACGCTAGTTTGCCTCAGTGAGCTGCAGTAATATAATTCATCGGTGATCACGGCAAACAGTGGTTAATAATTTTTTCAGGAATTTGTCGAATAACAATATATAGTTCAGTTTATAATACTGGAAATTTGCGAGTATATATGATACACTAGTAAAACCCTAAATTACCGTTATAACTAGTTTTACGATTGGTTTCTTTTTCATTGTTTATTGAATCTTCATCAGCAACATTCTCATCACCATCTGCATTTCCTTCGTCATCTTCTTCGTCACCTTCAACATCATGTTCCAGCATATATAAACGGTCAGTTTGAGCCTTCAATTCCTCATCCGTGAAATCTCGATGATGAACAATCAAACGAGTTTTGGGGGCTTGTAGAGCGCCAACATTAGTACCAGACTGGTTTAATTTACGCCGTTTACTAAGACGGACTCTGGTCTCTAATTCGTTATAGTAAACTCCTGTAAAGAAATCAAGAAAACGAATATCAGTATACATGTCCTCCTAGAACCTAATAGATTCAATGACAATACAGTTACCAGAACAAAAATAAATAAGTGATATTTAAGTAGTATGTTTTTCAAAGCGGTGGGTTAGTTGACAAATAATTATATCATAGTCTATCTACTCAATTTTTAACATGCCGGTCACATCATTAGCTTTCGTATAAAATTCGTGATGCAAAAAAAAACATACAAAATTGTACTTAGCTACTGAGTTGTATTTATGGTATATCTTAACACCAACCCCTCCAAACAAAGTAATTCACAACATTCTGTGAGTCTAAGTCACTTTCTAATTACGATAGAATTTATGAACACAGTTTGCCTAACAATACAGGAAGGAATTAAGTACCGAGTGAAAAGTTCAAACTAGATTTAACAAATTCTATGTAAATTTACGAGAATAATGTTTTACATGACAGGAGGATACCTAAAGACCGAAATATCCGAATCCAACCACGATGTCTGGATGTGCAATCATCCACACAGTCAGTCAGCTACAACGTAGGACCAGGCACATATATGCATCGGTCCAAGTTGCCATACCACATTAACACAACAAAATGGACACCGGATTCATAAAAGTAGTTAATTCAGAGGTGGTAATATATAAAAGAAAGATTACAATAAGGATATAGTATAGGAAGAATTAGTTCGTAGAAAGAAATTTGTATGAAGCGATTTTAATCTCTTAGTTTAAGGGAAGACAGAGAGTGTATACACCGACGCCATTAGATCGATTCTGATCTTTGTCCAACAGTCTCCAACCATTGGTTACGATAGTCACGCGGACCCCAACCGAGTCGTACCCATCTACCAACATGGCTCAGACTAGAAGTTAGTGACTTCAAGCACTGATGCCACGTTTTGATTTGGCCGCCCCTGACTTTCTTCCAACCATCCCCAACACCGGTTAGCATTACACGTCGTGGTAATCGGTGTTCGGGCATACGTAACACGTGGCCCAACCATCTCAGTCGAGGAAGATTCACAACCTCATCAACTGATTTACCATCATTCCCTAATACCCTGCGTCTAACCTCACTATTACTTACCCGGTGATCCCAGCAGACGCCAGTAATATTTCTAAGGCATCTGTGGTCAAATACTAGTAGCTTACGAGTGTCTTCTACTCTTAATGGCCATGTTTCGCTGCCGTAAATTAAAACAGAACGGACTGCCGCGCAGTATACTCATCCTTTTATTGATAGACGGATATCTGACATTCGCTATAGGTGATGTAAGTTGGCAAAAGCCAAGCGAGCTTTTTGAATCCGTGCTGAAATTTCGTCAGACACTAACCTATTAGGACTGATCAGACTTCCAAGATAAGTGAAATTGTCAACGCGTTCGACTACTTCACTACCTATCCTTAGTTCAGGTCTTGACGCAGACCAGTCCTGAAGCAACAACTAGCATTTAGAGGGAGAGAAGCGCATTCCAAACATCCTGGCATTGTTGCTCAGTGCTACCAGAAGACTGCATTCTATCAGCGTCTTCACCAAACAGGACTATGTTATCTGCGTATTCTAAGTCGATAAGTGGACCTCCTGGAAGGAGATCAATGCCCGAGAATTCAGTCGCCAAGTGCCTTATTTCCATCAATAGGTCTATGATGAAGTTAAACAAAAATGGAGAAAGTGGACAGCCTTGACGGACACAACTTGAGGTTGCAAAAGCATATGACAGTTCGCCATAAGCTCTGACTCTATTGGTAGTGTTCGAATGAAGAGCCTTCACAAGGTTTATGTACTTCTGAGGTACGCCTTTAAATGACAGACACTGCCACAGAGTCTCGCGGTCTACTGAGTCAAAAGCTGCTTTTAAGTCAAGAAAGATCACCATTGTCGGACGCCGATAAGTATGCCTATGTTCTGGAACCTGACGAATGGTGAGTATGCGGCCGATGCAGCCACGACCAGGTCTGAAGCCAGCCTGATTTTCTCGTGTTTGCAGTTCACGAGTCTTAGTTAGGCGTCTGATAATTATCAAGGCTAGTATTTTAGATATTATATTAGTTAAACTAATCCCTCTATGGTTGTCACAGGATGATTTTAGCCCTCTCTTATATATTGGGACGATAAGTGATTGTGACCAGAATCATCTACACAACCACGCACAGAGCTGTTCTAGGGTTACTGCCGATCGCAAGGCTAAGTAAAGGAGGAGGGTTGGGTATGAGGTCAGAAACCCCATTCCATACAAAACAATATTTCTATAAAACACTAACTGGAGTAAGCAATCTAAATTCTGTCCTGTGAGTACAAGGACCTTCATTCAGAAGAATTATGGCACCTCACTCTGAAGACCGAGATTCTTCGGAGTCATGAGGCTGATGCCACTTCTAACAACCAGAGTAACAATTAATATCGGTACATCGAATGTTCGGACAATGTGAGAGACAAGGAGGACCAATCAAATAGCTACGGAAATGAGGAGATACAACTTGGTGGTGCTCATAATAAGTGAAACACATTTGACCGAAGCTGAACAGAAAAGGATAGATCTGGGAGAGATGTTGTTGAACTCTGGTCATGAAGAAAATAATGCTCCACACACACATACATACACACAAGCAGGCAGTTGCTCTGACGCTGTCCAAAAAAGCACGAAAAGCACTTATAGAGTAGGAATCTCATGGATTCACGATCATCAAAGCATCCTTCAAAACACAGGGGGGTCACAATGAATGTTATCCACTGTTATGCACCCACCAATGAAGACGATAAAGACCAGTTTTATGAGAGGCGGCAATCGACTATAGAGAAGAGACCAAGAGACGACCTGACCATCCTGATAGAAGACCTAAACTTCAAGGTCTGAATAGACAGCAACAGATAGAAAGATATCACGGGACGATTTCGAATGAGAGAAAGGAATCAAGCTGGTAAGAGATTTGCAAATTTATGTGCTTTCAACTACATGGTTGGTTATACGTGGCACTAAATTCCGTCGTAAACTCACATACAGGTCATATGGGTCTCACCGGATCACAACCACAGAGAATCAGATCGACCATATTTGCATTAATAAAATATTTGGAAGGTCAGTGAAAGATGTGAGAGCCAAGAGCAGAGCTGACATAGCTTCAGATCACCACTAGCTGGTGGTTGCCAAGATGAAACGGAGGCTAAAGAAACACTGAAAAGCTGGGAAAACAGTATTACAAAGGTTCAATACAGCCTTTCAACGAGATACCAACAAACTCAACAAATTCAAGATAACTCTAAACAACAGGTTGCAAACCTTACAGCATCTACTGAACGATGAAACTACTATGGAAGACAACTGGAAAGGGATCAAAGTAGCACTAATTTCAACGTGTCAGGAAGTGCTGGGCTACAAGAAGTACATCATACGGAGTGAATCGCTATAAAAACCGTGGACAGGATTCAAGAATGGAAGAAAAAGAGGAAAGTAATTAACAACAGCCGAACAAGGGCAGAGATATGCACATTATGGTGTCTCTGCGAAGATCGTTATCATATGGAATTCACACGATGGACTACACTGGAAAGTTGTGCATGGATGACAGCTCACAGATGCATTCCAAGTGAGGGCCGGTGTCTGACAAGGTTGCTTGTTCTGACCTTTTTCTTTCAGTGGTCGACTGGGTTATGTTAACTTCTGCATCTCAGGGGAAGCACTGAATACAATAGACAACTTGGATCCAACTAGACGATTAGGACTTCACAGATCACCTAGCTCCTCTACCCCATACACATTAACAAGCGAAAGTGAAAACAGTCAGCGTAGCAGCGGCCTCCGCAGTAGTAGGCTTCAACATACACAAGGTAAGAAACAAAATCTTATTTAGACAATAATAAGGAAAAAATACAGTTGACAAATTATATATGAAGTCATACCATCTTTACGAAAACAAAAAAAATAATTTTCTTCATAATTGGCCATAGTTTTATTTTTGACATTCCAATTGTACTCTCGTGTAAGTTCATATTCATAGGCAGCATCTTCAGTATATGGTATTCGATTTTCAGCATCTAAACGACGTAATTGTTTAGTCTGTTCAGTTGGTAGGAAGTAAGCAACGAAATGGTCGCCAGATTCATCTACCATACCACTATAATTAACAAAAGATAATTTTGGGATGGTCAAGTAGATTATGAGTCAAGCTTATAACAGATTTATTTTGTGAATTATAAATAAGAATAAATTCCAAACAAATCACCCATAACCTCAACCACAACACACTAACAAATTTATTAAATGGGTCAATCATAGTAAGCAGATTAGGGATAACAAAATATTGTAAGACAGACTTGATTTTGACTAAATAAAAACTACCGTGCTATAAAGGTATGTAAATAAAGACATTTTTACTAAAATATCTCATGCTTATAACGTTAGCGAATTATTTTCTTCAAAACAAGCAATACTTAATCTCTAATCGATTTCATTTTCAGTCGTCCATCGTCAATTTTGGATCTAGCAACAATGGGTATCCGTCCAAAATGTCACACCTTATATCAGTAAAACCAGAAAGGTAGTTATTGAGAAGCAAGAGAGAAAAAATAATACCAATTACGCCGAACATCTAAACATAAGAAATATCTCAAAAAGGGGTTGAGATTGAAGAATGAAACGAATGGGATAATAGCAAACTCAAGATTTAAAGGGAGAGAAATACTAGTTTCTAACCATTGTCCTTGATTACCTTATGGATCGCAACCAAGAATCTGGAACATATTGGGACAGAAATTAAAAGCCATTCTAACAATTTCTCCTTAGCGTGTCGATAATGAAGCAGCAGTTAAAAAATCAGCCACAACATGAAAATAAGGGAATGAGAAACTAACCGAATCATTGCTTGATTCACCTCCTCCTTTTGTTCAGTGGTAGTTTTATTTTTACGAGAGGGGTCATCATCGAAAATAACCTGGAAAGATTAAACAAGATATATGGAGTCACTGTTGAGGCAATTTGTATAGACCGGTATCATAAGGTAGAGAAAAATAATTATTTTAAAAACTTGCTTTATTCTGTCCGATGTCCTAGGCTATGAGAAAGTTTGGGCATAATCGAGCGCTTTTGTTACCAGAAAGATTAACTGTTAAATTTATCATGGAAACGGTTCCCATAAACATTACTTTGGTCTGCTAAACACATATATTGGGTTAAAATTTGGGTACAAAAATTTAAAACAAGTTTCGCCAAGTTGCAACCAATGAGGATTACTAAAAATTCATTGTGTTTGTTGTATAAAACTAAAAATGTTTTCATACATGTTTTAGACTACCAAGTTATTGGAAGAGCAAAAAAAAATATTTTAATAAAATTGATCTAACTTGGTAAGCAAAGCTACAAAGACACTATTAATACTATATCGACACACATTTTAAGTACCCAGTCATGTAATGAAAAGAAACAAGGACATATTGTTACAAGACATATAATGTAGTCTGTTTACACAAACTGCACATCTTTTGTGGCACAATTATTAGAGAAATAGGAAAGGTTGAGCACTAAGCTAGCCAACTACTCCTAGTTCAGCTAAAGAATAAATTTTATATTTGAAGTAGAACACAGTCACATGTTTATGTGACAGCGTAAAAAACTTGAAGTACTTAAAGTACACTTTTAAGTGACAACCTTTGTCCGATGAGCAGAAACAAAACGATACTTAGGCAACGTGATGAACCCAACAACTTATTGCATTTTAAAACTCTCTAACAACCAATCCAGTTATTTTCAAACACCTGAAGAAATAAAGGTAAGTAAATAAAAAATAATTAAGTCATTCATCAAGTGCTTGGGTATGAGTATGAATTCTAATGAAGCTACCCAGTTGGATAAACCAGAGTACGTACGTAGAAACTGGATAGTGGATGTCCTAATTAATAAGCCACAGCTTGACACATTTGGTGACAAACAAAATAGGATCTATTTCTGAAAATAAAAGGCTTGAGTCTCGTAAGAACCATCTACATATGTTTTTAAAAACAGTCTTTTGTTACTTTACATCCATAAGCCGGCAAATGCTGTATGAAGGCTGATTAGTAACAGAAGAAAACAAGTAAGGTATAGGTTTTACAAAAATAGGCTGGCCTAAAACAAAACAACTTAGTGACAATAAACGATCGACCATGTTAAAAGCTCACATTGCTACTACAAACTGGTTACTGCTGGAACAAAACTAATATTACTAGAGAATTTAGCTGGCTAGTTTGGAGCATGTCAAGCCTTCATTTAAGGTAGCGTGATGTAATTAACAAGATCGGGGTCTACAAGGTCCTAGGACTATATCTTTAATTCCTCACTTAACTAGCAGTTAGGTTATTGTCACACCACTTACACTTGAAAACAAGCTATGATGTTAAGCACTAGTTGTAGAATAGGGTTTAGAGTTTGTTATTTTCATACATAAAACCCATTTGAAAAATCAATGCAACTGACCTGTGCACATGGATATCTCCATAATGTGAAGTCCGGTAACACTGGAAGTACCTCCAAAGCGTGCACATTTGGCTTACTGTAGTGCTTATGAATAGGTTTTTCAGCTGCTTTGAACGTTTCTTCAATGGCATTGATCTGGCTTTCGCGATCACGATACACGATCTCTTCATTGAGATGGCGTTTAACATTGTACCCAAGTCTTTGAAAATAATGACAAATAAACACTCACTTAGACTCCACCTTTTCAGATTTGTTCCAACGATTGTAAAGCTCAGTAGATATATATTCTGTTTTCCTTAGCCAGGACACTGACTTTTGATGTCTAGATTTACGTGCATTGACAAAAGTAGGAGCCTCATCTTCCAAGAGTCGCTCATCATCCGGATGAAGAGTTGCTATTTCGTATCACTTAAAAGTTTAACTAAAATATACCTTTTTTGTCAATTCGGAAAACATCAGGATCAATTAAGTCAACCTCAACTCCCACATCTGTTTCTGTGAGTAATTCATGCTTATAGTTCCTTTCCAAAGAGGTAGCAACATATTGAAGGAATCTAATACTAATATATAAAGATCAAAAGCAATTTAACCTGGAAGGTTCGAGAGGATATACTAAGAATTTAGGATCGAAAGGGAGCTCTGGCAAATTATTCTGATACTTCAGACGACATAATAGAGATTCAGTTCTGTAGTGAAAATTGGAATATATTATTTGTATTGTAAAGCATTACTGTACCTGAACTCTTTCCCACGATCTTGTGAAGAATCAAGGGGGTCATTGGCTTTCTCCGAACTCTGAAATAGTGTCATTTTGCGCGCTAAACCCAAGGCCAAAAGGTAAACTAGGTGGGGGCCATTTAAAAAGGTTCAAATGGTTGTGAACGGAATACAAGAAGCTTTCGCTTAACAGGCTTCCGCGTCTAGTAGCAGTGGATCACCAATACTTCCAGACAGGAAGCCGGGTATATTATCGATAGAAATTGGTAAATCATCCCGTTTTTCTCATCGAGTAGTCAATCATTGGAACGCCTTACCCGAACAAGTGGTATCAGCCCCATCAGTGAATACTTTCAAGGAAAAGCTGGACCTTCACTGGAAAGCAATGTGTCAGGATTAACACAGTTTCATCAACCTACTATCCTTATTACTGAAGACTGAAGACTGAAGACATAGTGTGATATTATCCTTAGTACATAAAAATAGGTCAAATCTTCTCTTAAAGGACTTTTGGGAGGTTACTTGAACTAGCTCAGACAGCAGAGAATTTCAGCATTTGACAACCCTTAGGGAGTAGAAGTTGTGTCCATGGTCCGTTCTGCTTTGTTGTATCTCCAGTTTCTGGGTGTCACCCCTTAGTTGTGTGTTTGAGCTAAACCTAATTAGGTGTTTAAGGGGGTGCCCAGAAGTGTTAAGGATACTGCAAACCATTAGGAGGTCACCTCTAAGATGCCTATACTCTAATGGATAAAGGTCTAGTGATAGGAGGGTGTTATGGCTTTATGTTGCAGTCGATTTTTGCCCTGTGCTAATTGTTGTGTCCGTGACTGGAAAATTAGAGAACAGCGTATTTATCGATCGATTACAATGACACGTAAACACGTACGGACGGCCTAGAGTCTCGATTAGTCTCGCTTCCCTGTCTAGCCCAGTCAGTTGAGTCCAGAACAAAAGTCACAACCTCTGAGATATGAATCATTATATTCCAAACATACTTTGTTTATATACCAATCAAGCATACCACATCGTACCATAAAATAGAAAACAACATTTTGTACAATGTTCTACAAGTGAACAGACATCGACCAATAGGAAGTGTCCATTTGAAGTCCAAGGACACCATTGGACTTAACATGATAATTATTGGTCTATTCCTCCGCATACACAACAGAGGGACTGTTCATAATGCTTGATTTTGAGTCCCCGAACTAATTTCGTGGCTGGCTGTTGGATACGTCCCAGAGTGCCCTTATACTTTTGGAATGAGGGGGGGGTAGTATGTTTCCGTACTCTAAATCGGGACGAATAAAACTGTTGAACATGTAGTGACTCACGTTTATCACGAGAACACGACTGGTTTAATAAAAACAATTATTATCATAACCAACTGTACCAGTGACTGTTTTAATGTGCTTTTGTTTGACTGTGCTAATGACAGCTATTTTGTGCTTCCATTCTTTTACTTACACTTTGATTGTAACTTCGCGCGAATTCGGTTACCTTCTGTAACCAAGGTTGTATCCTGGCACGATCTCGGTATCCTTTCGATGCCACGAGATCGCCAGCTAATAAACATCGACTTGGTCCATTAATTGCCTTCTGGTATTTGGCTTCTCGGGGATTTTATGGATCTATTTGGTTACGTCCAACCCTCGCCTTCTGATTTATCTGGCACGTGTTTCTTGGTAGCGGTGTTCACAGTTAATCTCAACTCGACGCCACGCTACAATTGGTAATCCCAATCAGACTACAAACATTATATCGAAAGTTCTTTCGTCAAACTGACCAAAAATGCTCTTCAGTGTCATCAGTACAAGGTTTGCTCTAAAAGCATTTTTGTCACAGCGTAAGACCAGCACTCCTAAATCTTTTTCAACTTTAGATACTTCTAGAGGGGAGTTACCTAAGTTGTGGCTGTAGTCTGCAACATATCTCAGATGGACTACTTTACACTTTCAAGTGTTAAAGGTAAGTCTGTTGTTGTCTTCCCTACTTTGAAGTTGAGTCAAGTCCTCCTGAAGTGCCAGTTTGTCCTCTTGGTTGCGTATCTCTATCTCCATAGTTTCACATCATCGGTAACAGTAATGAGTCTGAAGATACTTGTCGTGGATATATAAATCAAGAAAAGAAGAGATCCTAGTTCTGAGCTCTGAGGGACCCCACCAGGACATTCCACAACCTGAGAGAATGCGAAGTTAACTCTAACCTTAAAATGACGATTTTTGAGATATGAGGTGAGGCAAGCAATTAGAGGTGGTCTGATACCCGATCGTTTGAGCTTATTGATAAGACGTATATGGTTGACGCTATCAAAAACTTTTGAAAAGTCAAGATAAATGATATCGACTTTCCCGTTTGCGATCAAGGATAGGTTGTCCATCTGTCCACTTCAGTCAGCAGGTCGGTTAAACAAAAATGACCATTCCTGAAACCATGCTGTTGGGTTGAAAAGAAATTTCAGGATAATAAATGGTCGTGTATACCGTCGCACATCAGGCACTCCATAATTTTTGAAGACACGGAAAGAAGAGCCACCGGTCAGTAGCTTGAAGGTTCGCTCCATCGACCTCCTTCGAAAATTGGTGTGATGTGGGCAAGCCTTCGAATTCTCGATAATGTGCCTCGGCTTAGCGAGTGTGAGAACATCACGCTAAGTGGTATTGCCAGGGTTGAAGCTACTTCCCTCAGCATAACAGAATCTACCTTACCTGGACCAAGAGAAACGTTATTTTCAGGTGCTACAGTTTCCGGTACACCGAGCCGGAGATCAGGTTCACTTCGGAAATTTCTGTGCAGTTGCAGATGAAGCTTACATCATTATAGTTAATGTGGGTCAGTCGAAATATCCGAGAGTACTGTTCAACTGGAAAATTAGCGGTGGTACCGTCATTATTCGGGCCATTAGGACCAAGCTGTTGGGGAACTCTAGTTTCAGGTTGTTGAAGAGAGGCTGCATAACGGAACAAGCTTTACAGATTAGAGACAAATTTATCGATAAGCTTTATCTGGTATTGAAGCTTGTCTTCTCGCATTGCCTTTGTGTATATGTTCCCTATATGTTTGTATTGCCTGTACGCGCCGTTGTTATCAGTTCGTTTGTATTCCGCCCATCAATGCCTTTTGCGACTTAGTAAACGAAGAATGCGGTTCGTGATGACTGTAGGTTGCTCGTAGATTTTGGGGACCATTTGTGGGACAGACTACTTTGTAGCACATGAGAGCGTGTGCAGAAAGAAATCGCACTGAGCATCCACATCAAGTTGAGGGTCATTTTCCCGATCCTGTACAACGGACACATTCAACCGTTTGAAATTCCAGCGCCTGTTGTTGGTGGAATGTCTTAGCTCAGTTTTGCTAATAAAACTAAGGGCTATAACAGCGTGATCACTTCTTTCCAGGATTATGAGTCTGTCAATTAGAAATAAATACCCAGTCTAAGAGCGACGGCGTGTGACTGTTTCTACAACAAGTTGCCGACTTCACATTTTCGAATAATCCCAGATCTTCAATTGCAGTATGAACTGATCTTGGTGAAATTATTGAACTTAAATTCAATTTAGTTGTCTTGTGTCAAGCTGCTTTTACACTGTTTGATAATCTCTGGGAGGATGACAAATTTGATTGTACAGATAAACGACTTCACTGTTACATATGACCAAAAATGGTTCAAGTGGTTCGGAGAGGAATGGAAAAAGCTTTCGCCTGACAGGCTTCATATCTAACAGCAGTGGATTATCAAGGTTTAAAGGTGGGAAGATAGATAGATTTAACGGTAAAAGAGAAATGTTATTAAATTATGCCGAAGCTATAGTGTCACGTTTTCTCCTGAAGGACTAATGAAAAGTCGCCTGGACCATTACTACTACTCGCAAAGAGTAAAAGGTGTGCCTATTGTCCATTCTGTTATTTTTTAACACTAATTTCTGGGTAATACCCCTACGGTTTGCGCTGAGATTGAGCTCAAGCACGTGTTTCATGAGATGACTAGGAGTGTTAAGGATACTCTAAGTCATTGAAAGGCCAGTTCTGGGATGTCTATACCCTAAAGAGTAAGGATTCAGTGACTTGTGTAGTTGTTCATGAGGTTTGAAATTGGGTCCTCGAACTAATTTCTTGACTCGCCTTTGGATACGTCCTACTGTATTCATGTCCTTTTAGGGTTAGCGAAAAAACGCTACATTTCCATACCCTAGGTAAAGTCAAACAAAACCGGTGAAGATAAGAGAGGAAGCTCTATTTTCGAACCGGCTTAAAATGCGCCTCAACGCTATCAGTGCAAGGTTTGCTCCAAAAAGGAATTTTGTCTCAGTTGACGTAAGACATAAGATCATTGGGTAATGACACCTGGTTGTTTTGCAACTTAGGAAACTTCTGGATAAAAGTTAGCCAATTTGTATGCGTAGTCTGAAGCATTTCTCAGATGGACAAGTTTACACTTCGAAATGTTAAAAATGAGTCTGTCGTTATTCACTCAACTTTAAAACGAGTCAGATCCTCATAAACTCCCAGCTTATCATCTTGGTCGCAAACTTATCTCCAAAGTTGCACAACGTCAGCGAAAATAAAAGTAATCAGACATTACTTGCTAGGTAAGGTCATCTATATAAACTAGGAAAAAAAGAGGTCTGAATACTGAACCCAGTGAAAAGGTTCATCTATGATAAAAAGAATATCCAATGTATCGGGGGACCAATAATGATATTAATAATGGTAATAATGATAAATACGAACATAAGCAGAATTTATATATTAAGATGAATAGAAATAAAATAAAATAGACGTGAAAAGTTTCAAAGGTTTAATATTGCTTGTTTGTATAAATCATTATTGAATACATTGATATTCAATAGATGACATAATCCACTTTCGGAAAGAGAATCATCAAGGAGACTTCTGAAGCGGGTTGTAGTTTCACTGTGACGGAAGTTCACTGGCAGTCTGTTCCACATTGTTGAGTAGCGAATAAGAAAAAAATTCTGGCGTTAGTTTGTGTGGGTTCATGGAATCGCTAGAATTTTCTCCTTATTGCTTAGATTGTGGGATAATATCATAAGGTATGAAGGGGTGGATACCAAAGAGCAGGAAATACCGTTAATAAGCCGGTAGATAAAGATAAGAT